CAGGTAGTTAGGACGCTTGACTCGCAATCTGAGGGTTGCGGGTTCGAATCTAAGTGAAAAACGGTCAATTTTATTTAAATATCAATATATTATTAGAAACTAGCTTGATAAATGATGGTATCAATAATCCAAATGCTAGATAAAAAAAAAATATACAGAAAACTGCGCAGGACGTTACCTGAGATAAATTGTAATTATCAATATCTTAGCTATACCTATAGCCTATTGGTTAAATAATTAGTTTTAGCATGTAGTTTACGCCCAACAATTAATTTAATGAGATACCTAACCTTCTTAATATCAAAAGTACTTTTTATTTATATCTCCAAAATGATTAGTTTGTTTGAACAGTTGTGATCTGTACTTAAAACAACTGATCCGTAGCCAGGTGGTTAGGGCGCGCGACTCGTAATCTGCGTTACAATGTGACGGTCAAAGCAAAAAGCTACGCATGGGTCCATCTGTGTAAAACCGGTTTTTAGCGTTGTAAGCCCGCTGTGCCACTGGGAGGCCTCAAATATGAAATGTTCATGTATATTTCTAGATTTTAGTTATGTGTAGGAAGAAAGCCATTACTGACCGCTTAAAATCAGGATATTAGGAATGCCACAGCTTTTTAGTTGATTCAGTTGTAGACTGTCTACGTGTTCTCACTGTTTCCTTAAGTTATAGTGACTTGAAAGTTGGTCTTCCTGGGTAGGAGAATACAGACAGATCATCAAATAAAATACTACTTTGCTAGAGGAGCTAGAAAGAAAGACGTCATCTTTCTGTATGAGATTAGTTGTACTGATTTGCAAGTTTCGCAAAGCTACACGAGGGCTAACTGCGCTAGCCGTCTCTAATTCAGCAGTGAAAGACTAGAGGGAAGGCAGCTTGTCATCACCACTCAGGAACGAATAGAGGGATTGACCGCACTTTATAACGCAGATTGCGAGTCGAGCACCCTAACCATCTGCCCATGGATCAGTTTCATTAAACGTAAATCAAGTTAGCCTATATCTAACCACCATCAATAAAGGTTAAGAAGAATTTGGTGTAGCTGTTAGAGTGTAACGATCGCATAAGTTTTGTCCCTTAGTTCATATAAGTTAACTCGACATGTACCTTAGTTTGTTTAATAACAGTTGTTTTATATCAACTATATAGTCAACGCAAAGGAAGCTCTTATAGACAAAGGGAAAAAGCTTGTATAGTCAACGCTAAGAAAGCTGGTTTAGTCAACGCTGAAGATGC